TGAAACTTTGTCCATGGGCTCGAGTGTGCGTGTACCGCATAGGGTTGGTCTGAGTAGCAGGTCCAAAGGGACCTAACAACAACACAGATTTGTAGAGTATGACCATAGCGACACTGAATAACAGACTTGAACCCTGTCCTGCCCTGTGCCATCCTCATCATCTCTGATGCACTTGAGCCTGCTGCTGCAGTCACTGCATCAATCTATCTCTTTGGGGATCTTCCTTTCCTTCACTGAACATCTTTCCAAGCATGATGTCCTTCACCAAGGAATAGCTTAATCTAAGCAACATGTCCAAAGTATGTGAGACAAGTTTTATCACCTTTGCCACCAAGGAGCACTCCAGCTGCACCTTCTCCAAGACATATCTGTCTGTTCTTTTGGCTGTGCATAGGATATTCCTCACTCTTCTCAAACACCACAACTCAAAAGCATCAGTTCTTCTATCTTTATTGTTGTCTATTTCTGAGATGCATACGATGTGATTGAAAAGACCACAACTTGAATCAAACATACCTTAGTTTTCGGACTGATAAGTATTTTGGAAAGATCCCAAAGACAGCAGACTTGCCCAGTGCAGTATATGTCCTGATCTTACTGTTGGTACTAAGGGTGTTGATTGTGGATCCAAGCAAAAGAAAATCATTGACAACTTCATGCCTTTCTCCATCTCTTATGATGTTGCATATTAACTCAGTGGTGAGGACCTCTATCTTTTTGATGTTGAGATGTAATCTACACTGGAGGCTGTTGTCATTGACTGCAGCAAGCGTTTCAAGCCCTCCTCAGCAAGCAAGTCAGAATCAATTCATAGCTGACCCTCCATTGGGTTTATGGACGCTGTAAATGGCAAAAGAGGAAACTGTCCATTTCCTTCTTTGGAGAAGGTGGATTTGAACTGCCAAAGAGACACCAGTTTTGTGTTAGCAGTACAAGTTCCTGTGGACTGAGTCACTTGAGCTCCCAGTTTTCATGTGTGACAACTGAAAATGCCATGGACTGAGTCAGGTACACCTTGTTGTTGTTGTTGTTGTTATTAGGTGCCATTGAGTCGAGCACAACTCATAATGACCCTATGGATGTTGTTGTTGTTGTCATGTGCTGTCGAGTCGCTTGCGACTCATAGTGACCCTATGCACAACATCCCTAAAATTTGCTCTGTCCTGTGCCAATCGCACCATCTCCGATACACCCATCCCGATTACCTCAGTCACTGAATCAATCCACCTCATAGGGGGCCTTCCTCTTCTGCACTGTCCCTCCACCCTCCCAAGTATGATGTCCTTCTCCAAGGACCTGTCCCTCCTTGCAACATGTCCAAAGTATGTTAGA